TCCAGCAGCCCTGAAATGCTCTAGTAGGTTGTGTGGGTTGAACAGAAACATTCCCTTATTTAAAATGTTATATTAGCAGTTTCAAACATTCTTGGGTTTAKTTCACCACTKAGGAAGGGACAGTTTCAAGCCAGGCTTCACTTTTCCACAATGTTTGTTAGAAGCAGATGAGTTAAGGAAGGCACATTRCCAGTWCTTGTAAATGACATTTGCAGGCCAACCCAGAGCTGCAGGGGATCCTGAGGGGCAGCCATGGGCTGCCCATGACAGTGGCCAAGTCTTCCTGATCACTGATCACTTCCAGAGCACTGAACTACTTCTAAAGCCAAGACTGCGGAGTAGAGAGGTCTTCAAGGAAAATCCTTTTTCCATTTGTTTTGGATCACTTCAGGGACAGAAATGTAGCAAGAAAGCTCAGACTGAAGAAAATTTCAATTCACAAGTTTTGACACCTGTGCTATATTAATGGTTCTAATAATTAGGTAAAGGTTCAGAGAAACTCAGCAAAGATGGYATTCAGTTCATATGAAACGGAGGGGGCATAAGGTATTTCATACAGCCTATCCAAGGTCATGCCAAACAAAAGGTTTATCTTCTTCTTAAAGATGTACTGCAAAACAGCCTTTGCTCATCAGTATTTTAGCACATCATACCTTGTTAATTTGAAATGGCCATTCTGTAGTACACCCTTTCTTGAACTGCTTTTCCCAGTTGCCTTTGAAATAGATGGCATTCACCAACACAAGCCTGGTCAGGGAATTCAGAATCCCCTCTGCCARCAGGTTCTGAATTTTACCTTTATGACACAAAGGAAAAAAGCCCACACTCTGTAATAGTTTGACACGGATCTAATTACTATCTAAGAGATCTACTCTGCAATCAATACACAAAAAAGAGAATTATGGACCAGASACAGCAATAGCTCAGCACTTCAGTTGTCTGATTTCACAATTTGATATCCTGAAAGCAGTCTTCACCCAAACAATGGCTGCCATTAAACACAMCTGGGCACTGGCAACTTTGCACTCACCTTCAGTCCTTTCCTCTACCCAGTCATTGATTTGTTTCCTGGAATCCTCCCAAG